CATGCTTGGCCCTTTTCTTATCTTTCCTTTTCCTCCTACTGCCCACTCTATCTGTCTTGMKTCTTTCTTTCTTTTCCTTTCATTCTTCTATGTTATCTATCATTCTTTCTATTTAGAAAAAGAATGTTTGCTAAATCAAAAGATCTCTGTAAATAAAAAAGTAGCTTCCARGCATAAATTTAATGAATATTTTTATTTTACCAAAAGTAAAGAATAAGGTTCATATTTATTTGGTGTTGTTGAAATACAGAGAGTAAAACCAAAAGAACACATGTAATATAGTTTTTGTTAATTAGCTCTGTTGATATTTAAATATTTTTTATAATAAGTATGATATAATCAAGCTTTCAATATTTGTCTAATTGGATGTCACTTTTCTGTCTAGCACTAACTTAGACAATTAGAGAGGAATACATGGATTTAAAGAAGATTCTTATACCCCTGGTTATTAGAAAAAATGGTATATAAGTGAGGAGGCAACTTTCACACAAGTAACTGTTACAGAAATTAAAAATACTTAAAATTAAAGTTTAAAATAAGTAAATTGCTTATAGTGGACATTGGWTGAATTTAAAAAAAAACTATGAGATTTGTTAAGAGGCATATGTCAGATTGGAGATTGAAAGTTTTCATATGAAGGTCTCTTTAACACAGAAAAACAGATTTATTTTTAATATCACCATTCAAATTATTTAAATTTTTCTACAACACAATAATAAAAATTTCATACTAAATTTGAAGCTTACACAGCATTGAATGTGGTACCATTTGCCCATTTCCAAGACTCTCCCACTTTCCTGCTCAACCCAATCCAATGCATGGAAGTTCCTGTATATTTCTTCAAAAATTCCTTTCACAAGCACAAGGTGTCATTCATTAGTTAATATGCTAGAGCACATTGTGGAATATGCTTTTCAACCAAATCATTTCACCCTTAAAATTCACATTCTAAATTCTGATGTCTTCATTTTTTTCTAGCACAAACAGCACAGATATCTTTGAGATAATATTATCAGAACAATTTTTATTTCACTCTATCAGTTAGACATGTCTAAGAAGTTATAGTTTAATCATGTTATTGAAATTCTATAATCTACACGGCCTCTAATTATCTTCAAAGGCAATTTCCAGCTCTTCAGAAATTGTGAGAAAAGCATATTTGACTTTTTTCTTTTAAGTTCAAAGTCTAAGTCGTTGGTATGTTCTAGTCACTAGGTGAATGACGAAGACCATGAACTGCAATGATGTTAAAACTACCTGGATGACAAGCTAGGGGTCTCAATGGTTTCTACAGGAACTGGTATAGCCTGTTCCTCAGGGATGACAGGAACCAATGCTTCTGTATTGTTTTAAGTGTKGGTGCTCTTCCACCATTTAAAGAAGAAGGGCCTGAAATTCCCATGTGAAAAGTGTTCTTTCTATACCAGAAGGAAAAGTAATACTCTTATATCATGAGTAGAGAGTTGAGGCTAAGGGAAATTTGTGTAAACAAACCTCATTAAACCTCCTGGTTACTTCCCTATCATATCCAAAACTTTTACCTTATCATATGGTCACAATATATTAAAGGGGAAAGGAGTAAAGGAAAGTGGCAGTACTGTTAAGAAGGAAAAACTCAGAGGGAAACTGCTTTGAGTAGATCCTATTATAAGAATGCCATTCGTGCTATATGTTTTCTCATACAATCTGAGATCAAACTAACTCCTGGGTAAATATGATTTATTACAATGGGAGATATTAAGTGGGAGTTTCAGGGTTTCCTCCATAATATCCTTACTATAGGACCTTAATCATTTTTGTCAGCTTTTTTTTACAAACCAACCAACCTCATTTCTTACTGTGTCCCTAAAGTCCATGTCTGTCTGCCTTCTCTCACCTCTTCCACTTATTAATTCACTTACTACAAGTGCACATATCTCCTTCATATTCTCACCTCTAAGTTCCTAAACTCCAAGAGCTAAATCATTTTTTTTTTAATTCTAATTGCCAGAAAAGTTTTGGTGGAAGGCAAATGTAACTAAGAAATAATATTGCAATCTAAAAACATCCAATAAAGACATTTATCTATCTACATAGTAGGCACTGATGTTAAGACATGATATCACTAGGCAATTTGCCTGCATTCAAATCCCAGCTCATGCCTCTGTGCATGTGTGCTGTGTGTGTGTGTGTGTGTGTGTGTGTGTGTGTGTGCATGCACATGGCACTGGTTGAAGATTACCTGAGTTTTTATAAGTATTGTCCTCAGAACACTGTCTGACATGTATTGTCACATAATATCAGCTGTTATTGTTTTTATTCTCTCCTTGCAGAAACATAACTTTTGAAATTATTTAAAAATTTTCCTTACCATATCCCTTTGTGTATCAATCTGAGCCGGTTTTGACCCCTGGGATCTGTAGTCTCTGTCACTGGCTGTCCAGTTTCTGATWTCAGAAAAGTAGAAACACTTCTCTCCTACTGCAGTCCATTCCCCTCCACATACCACAGTTTTAGAACATTTTGATATTACTGAAAAAAGAAAAAAAATTATCAGATAAAATAAATCAAAAACTATTTCCATTCACTGTAGCGAATCAGTTTTGCTTTTTACTTTTCCCTYTCTGCTTAATCAAATGAATGCTTAAGCATGAAGATTTTCAAAGGAACATCAGCATTCTTGAGAATGACAAGGAAAACAAAAATCAGAACTGCTAAAGACTGACATAATTGATTTTAAGTGCTAAATTTAGTAAAGAGTGCATATGGAAAAGCAGGTTCTAAGAAATATTAGGCCATGGATCAGGAATCAAATTCTGCCTTTGGATTCTCTTTGTGTGTGTATGCACACACATGTTGAGCCTATGATATCCAGAAGAATATTAGCATTTTATTTTTATAAATCTTCCAACAGATTACTGATGCCTTTGTTCTTTTTTTCCCTTTAACATGATATGAGAGTGAAGGAGTTCAGAGGGTGACACTCAGAACTTGACATACCTATTATATCAAAGAATCTGAAAAGTAGAAGATGCAAGAAGAAATATCCTGGGTCAAATGGATTCCCATGTGAAAAATGTTCTTTCTATACCAGAAGGAAAAGTAACACTCTTACATCAAGAGTGGAGAGTTGAGGCTAAAGGAAATTTGTGTAAACAAACCTCATTAAACCTCCTGGTTACTTCCCTACCATATCCAAAACTTTTACCTTATCATATGTTCACAATATATTAATTTTCCCAATTAAATATGCATATTCAATTCTGAGTCTTTGAGTCTTCTTTTTTATGAAGATTTCTTTTCTGCATAAAATTTGTATGATATAAAAGTGGATGCTTTTCTCCTGTCTATCTCCATGTCAACTTAATTCTCATACTCAGCAGAAAAATCCTAAGATGGTAGAGAAAAACTTTGATTTTCCCACAATGGAAAGAGAGAAGAAAGGAAAAAAGGGAGGGAGGGAGGGAAGGAAGGAGGAAGATATCAACAAACAACTATAAGTAATATAACTTACTCTAGATCCAAAAGAAATTAAAACAAATAAATGATATCATTGCATAAGGTGATTACAATTTATGAGGCATCAGCACTAGACAAGTCTTTTGATCCTGATTCTGGAAGTTATTATGTGTGAGAATCAACTTACTCTAATCATTATATCTTTGTMTATAAATGGATTTCATAATTACATCTTTCTCCCAATTTTGTGAGAATTAAACATAAATATATAGAACATAGTGTATTTAACATTAACTCACTCTCAATGAAAAAATATTGCTTTTTTTTTTAATCTGTTGATCATCTGAGAATTTAAGACCAAGGACTCCAATAAAGTTAAGAACATGATTCTACACTTCAACTGAGAGCATTTTTTTTTGAAAAAGGCAAAGAATATGATAAAACTTAAATTAAATTAAGAAAAAGTTTAGAAGACAGCAAATCAGAAGCAACCAGCACTTGCCTGCTTCTCTGTGCATTGGAATCAAAACAATTGGAAAGCAACTATTCATTGAGGCACATGCCTATGGAAAAATGCTGAAGTACAATAGTGGACATACAGAGCTTGGAGAAATCCAGACTCTGAATAGTGGAAGAGAAGGTGGAGATGATGCAAGATCTTAAATTATACTATGGGGCTACAGTAAAAACAATGGCATGGTACTGGTACCATTACAGACACATAGACCAGTGGAACAGAATAGAAGACACAGAGACAGACCCACATAAATACAGTTATCTCATGCTAGATGGAGGTGCCATAAACATACATTGGAGAAATGTTAGCCTCTTCCACAAATGGTGTTGTGAAAACTGAAAATACACATGTAGTAGAATAAAATTTAACCCCTATCTCACCCTGCAGAAAACACAACTCAAAGTGGATCAAGGATCTAGGAATTAGACCAGAGACCCTGCACCTACTAGAAAAAAAAATAGGCTCATTATGTTGGTTTAGGAACCTATTTCTTCAACAAGACTTCAAAATCATAATAAGTAATATATCAAGAATCAATAAATGGGATGGTATCAAACTGAGAAGCTTCTTCAAAGCAAAGGAAACAATCAAGAATGTGAAGAGAGAGCCTACARAATGGGAGAAAATCTTTGCTACCTTTACCTCAGATATAGCATTAACCTCCAGGATACATAAAGAACTCAAAAAACTTAACGCCCCCAAAAATAAATAAATAAAGCCCAATCAATAAATGGGCTAAGGAATTGAACAGGTACTTCACAGAAGAAGAAATACGATCAATCAACAAATATAAGAAAATATGTTCAACATCACTAACAATAGAGAAATGCAAATTCAAACCATGCTAAGATTTCATCTTCTTCCAGTCAGAATGGCAGTTATAACAAGTAACAATAAATATTGGGAAGGATGTGGGGGAAAATGTCCACTCATACACTGTTGGTGGGACTGAAAATTGGTGCAACACTATGGAAAGCCATATGAAGATTCCTCAGGAAACTTGGAATGGAACCACCATTTGACCCAGTTATCCCACTCCTCAGTGTACATGCAAAGGACTTAAAAATCAGTATACTACAGTGATGCAGCCACATSAATGTTTATAGCAGCTCAATTCACAATAGCTAAACTACGGAACCAACCTAGGTGCTCTTCAACAGATGAATGGATAAGGAAAATATGGTATTTATACACAAATATTACTCAGCCATAAAGAAGAATGTAATTATGTTTTTTAGTAAAATGGATGAAACTGGAGATTATGATGCTAAGTGAAATAAGCCAATACCAAAAAACCAAAGGCTGAATGTTCTCTCTGTTAATGCARATGCTGACTCACAATAGGTGAGGGATGCGGGGGTGGGGATTGTTTTCACCAGATTGGACAGAGCAGAGTAGCAGGAAGGAAGAGGTGGGGAAGGGAATGATAAAGACAATAGAATGAATCATCAGACATAACTTTCCTGTTCATATATGAATACATGACCAGTGTAACTCCACATCATGTACAACCAAAAGAATGGGAAGTTATACTACATGTATGTATGTCAAAATACATTCTACTGTCATGTATGACTAAAAAGAACAAATACAAAAAATAGAGAAAGCAAGAAAGAGCTACAGGGCCACACTTGTGCCAGCATGGCAAAGGACAGGAACAGCAGAGAAAGAAGGAGACCCAGTAAGCACAGCTGGCACAGAATTCAACACAGTGCAGATGGGAAGAGTGAACAYAGCTGGATCTGGGATGTGCATAACCGGCTGGCACTAGAGAAATCCTTTGCACTTCCCAATCTGTGCTCATAGTTTTGTAAAAATGAGCCATTTTGAGAAGGTTGCATCTGAACTTGCTGTTGTGCAAATCAAAAGCCTCTGCATTTTCCTGTCCCTGGGAACCTACAGCAAACATCACTACACTGTCCCAGTGGACATCTACCTTGAGACCCAGTTTAGCCCCAGGGTAGTCCCACTGAAACAAACCCACTGAAAAATCTATGTAGTGGGAAACCAGTGAGTGATATGGAATGAAGCAGAACTTGCTTCCTGTTTAGGACAGACATACTAGGTGACTAGCTGAAGGAGTTCTGTGTACTGAGCAGGCATACATGGTTATAGTAGAAGCTGTATCTTAGAAGGTGAGACTGGTGCTATGGATTGTGTGAGGCCTGCTGGACTCCTTCTTCCCAGTGTACTCACTTGTCCTTCCTTCCAAGTGGGTTTCACAATAGGCACAAGACACAGACTCTGACTCAGAGCCTGGTGTCAGCCAACCCTGAGATTGCCTTGAGTAATCTTTCAGAGTAAATTTCTGAAACTTTGCAGTTTGTATTATCTTATCCTGGTGAGCAGGGCAGTTGAGAGCTATTCCAACTGGTTCCAGTCCCAAACTACTTCCACTGGTTGCTTGTTGAGGACACAGAAAGAAATTCTGATCAGCATAGATAGGGAACACCCACTCTTGCCCATGTGAGTGGCCACTTTGGCAGAAACAAATACTTTTGCTKTTTATCAAGGTTTTCTTATCTTCATTATTTGCTGATTTGTATATATACTTTTTCTTTACTCTCTTCTCCTTTTAATATTTATTTTATTTATCTATTTTCCCCTGTTTTCTTTCTTTTCTCTTTTTGAATTTTCAAAATGTTCTTTGGCCTTCCTTTTAAATTTTCTAAAAAAAAAAAATAGTTACAGTAAACTTTTATGGATCAATGAGAAAAAAATARAACTGGTATTTAAAAATGCAAAAAAACACCAAAAAGATAAGAAAWCTTAAGAATAGCATTAAGAGAATTAAAGGAGGAAAAATACAGCAGAACATCATAAAACAAAACCCCAAACAAAACGACAAAATTTAAAAGAAAAATAAAGCATAGCAAGGTATACTGTATTCACAAGGTCATGTCAATTGGTATAGGAATCACTGTAAGCAGGTCTTCCAGTGGGAGATGACAGAATTACTATAGTAATTTTATAGGAAACTATAGAAATCAAGGATAAACTGGCTAAACAGACTTGATAAGATTCACCATGACAAAATTTCATCAATAACCCTAAACTTTTATTAGTTCTGTCTTTGGACTTCATATGATAATTTGGTAGGAAAACTTTCTGCTGTAACTGATGGTCATGTTATTTAAATTTGGTAGGAAAATTTTCTGCTGTAACTGATGGTCATGTTATTTAACAAAGAAGAGTTTAATGCACTGGAAGAGGGGTATTATTGATAAGGAACTAGAGTGTTTAGTTTTTCTTTTCTGAAATCTATTTTGTTTTATGGTTTTATACTGGCTAATGGCAATTGCTTATTACCTCTGCTTATAAAAGTGGAATGTGTGATGTATGGTCTCACCTACTATTTAGTACCTGCATCATCATAGACATTATCCACAATGAGTAAATAGAATGACAAAGGAGCTCCTGGTTGATGGAGGCTTCTACTTAGATAGGCCAGCACTAGATCTGCATTCTGGACATCTGCCTAACAGCTTCCAGAGAGTTCCATCAGGTGCTTTAAAGACACCAAGCAATAAYAGCTCTTCCTTATT